GTCTAAGCAATTCACTTTTATTTTTCTTAGCTCAGTGGCGCCTGAGCGCCGCACCCGAAGGTGAAATATGATCGAGGTGACAAAGTCATTAGGAAGGCGTACATAGGTATAAATACAAGTTATTCTTTCGATCTGATAAACAGAAGATTAATTAAAGTTGCGCAGAAAGAGTAGGTGTTTCGGAGCGTTGTGAAACTGCGTGTAGACTCTACGGAGATTCTTCGCGGACTGGAATGAGCAACTAGTAGAAGTCATGTGACTGGGAGTCACGTTCTCATTGGAGGTGCTGATAAAAGCATTTATTCAGAGTTTTTCAATTAAATGAGAGTTATGGCATAACTTTCAGTAATTTTGCAGAAAACACAGTCTTTTTCTTGACATAATAAAATTGAAATGAAGCAATAAAATAAAATAATTCTTGAATAATATCTGAAAATGTAAAGTCCTGGTTGGGTGGGCGTGTCAATCACGTGAGCCAGTAGGAAGGCGCTATGTACAAGAGAAGGTGAAGACGACACTCGATCATTAAATAAGTAACTAAAACATAAATAATGTAAAGACCTTATGGTTAAGCGTAATAAAAACAAAGTCCTTGCTTTGCAGAATTTACAGTATATAGCCAATGGCTTTGCAGATGCAAACACAAAACACTAAACATTATGAACACAGTCTTGAAAATCTTGGTTAAATAAGGAAGAAGATGAAAAATATTTACAATATATACAATTGTTGTCTAGATTTGTAACGAAAATGTAGATTATTATTCCGTTCGGTCGCATTGGTCGACATCCAACCACTGTCATGCGAATATGGAATAAATGCATTGGTAAAGGTCATACTGAACGGCATGCAGGATCTCAACGCCCTCCCATGACTAACGCCAGAGAGGACAGACAAATTGTGGGTTCAGAACTGAAAAACCGTACCATCATGGACCATTACTCAGGAAATGGGCACGTTTGCAGCATGCTCAGTATGAGCTCGTAAGGTGCGTCGACGTTTGCAGCAGGGTGACTATTACTTCGGTTCCCTTGACAATGCAGCGTAGAGAGAGACGGTCACTCTGGATCTAGGTACAGGAGTGGCGCAATGTCACCTTTTTAAACAAGTCCCGGTTCTACGTGCAGAATTCTGACGGCCGAATACGTGTCTGGAGTGTCCGAGGAGACCGCACGTTGCCTGCTTGCATTTGATATCGGCACAGGGGCTTTGCACCTGGTGTGATGGTTTGGGCAGACTAGAACTAGAGATGTACACGACATGCACATCTCTAGTTCGGATCGACGGTAATTTAAACGCAGATGGGTACATTTCTGACATTTATGTCCAGTGGTTGTGTTCTGTCTTCGAGGCCTCCAAAGGCCATGTTCCAACAAGATAATACAAGATTAAATGTTGCACGTCGTGTTCTGACCTTCCTCGATACACAGGGTATTCGATTGCTGCCCTGGTCTGCACGGTCTCCAGATCTGTCACCCACTGAAAACATCGGGTCATTAGTTACAGAGAGTCTGGCCCTCCATCCCTCTCTGGCTAATACGGTTGATGAAGTGTGGCATAGACTTGAAGTAGCATGGAAAGAGTTGCCCATTTCTGTCATCCAAACCCAGTTTGATGGGGTAAGGGCCGTTTTAGCTGCCAGAGGTGGCAGCTGTTTCTAATAATTTAGCACACCTGTAAACCTTCAAAATGCTTACAAATTTAATTATTTTGTCTTCACGCCATACTGTTTACGTGCAATAAATAACTTTTTTGTATTTGTCTTCTTTCATGGTGTTGCAATTTTAATGGCTAACAGTGTATTTACAAGAGCTATACATCTATTACTAGTTTACTTACATATTAATCATACAAAAAGAATAGATACTTTTAATCCATGAAATAAATTCTCTTTGTTTCGTGTGTGAAAAAATGCAGGACATACTTCTTAAAATACGCACGAAGGAAAACTTGTATTAACTTGGAATAGAGATTATTATGTGTTACGTTTACATTAGAAATGTGCTTGAAGCTGAGCAAAATTAATATGACGACAGTTCATAACGCATTTTCACTTTTTTATACCTAACAAAGGCCATTAGTGCAGATCAGACATTTCAAATTCAGCATCTCAAAAAAGCCAGGTAGTCATGGATGTACAACAGTTTTCAATAGCTTTTTCGTTGATTTATGCCCCGATAGAGGTCATAAGTGTAGATAAGGAATATCAAACTGAGTATCTAAAGGAGGCCAAGCAGTTATCAGTGTATAATAGTAGTTTGCAACTTTTTTTTTCATTGATTTATGTGTCGACACAGGCCATTAGCGTAGATCAGGGATATCGAACCCTGTACCTCAAGAGTGCCAAGTAAATGTCAGTGTAGAATAGTTTTAACGGCTTTTTCAGTGGGTTATGATTTAATATAGTCTTTAACGTAGAGCAGACAAGTTTATCGAGATAAAATTAAGTGAAAACTTATTACAAACTATTGTAGGCTGATTAGTGCTGGGCTTTCTTCAGCTATTGAGATTGACATGTGTCAAGTAGTAATCAGTGTGCAATAATTTGTAATGGCGTTTTCGCTAACTTGTGTTTCGATAGAGGCCATTAGCATAGAGGAGGCATGTGAAACTCACAACCTGAAAATGGTCAAGTAGTCATCAGTGTACAATAATTTGTAACGGATTTTTCAATAATTTGTGTCTCAAAAATTCCATCTGTGCAGATTAGACAAGTCAAACCTCATACTTCAAGAGTACCAACTAGTCATCAGGATGCAATAGTTTATAATAACTTTTTTGCTGATTTTTAATCACAATAGAGATCATTAGCTTAGATCAGGCATATCAAAATTAGTACCTCGAGGAGGCCAAGTAGCCATCAGTGTACAATAGCTTTTAACGGTTTTCTTACTGATTTTTATGTCGACAGAGGCCATTAGCGTAGATCAGGCGTGTCAAACTCAAGACCTCAAAATGGCCAAGTAGTCATGAGTGTACAATAGTTTGTGACTGGTTTTCAATCATTTATATGTCTGTAAAGACGATTAGCATAAATGAAGTATGCCAAACTCAATAGCTCAAGAGGGCCAAGTAGTCTACAGTGTACAATAGTGCGGGCCGCTGGGGGAAAATGCCATTTTCATACTTTATGGTGAAGTTAAAAAATGAGCAGATATCTAGACTTTTACCTAATATTATATCTTTTAAAAGGTAAGAATATGGTATACGCCTGTTATTAGAAGGAACATGGTAGATGGCGGTTAATATGATGTACGGTCAAATGTCAGATAAACGGCTACTACCTGTTATCTTGATATCGTGCAGTTTGCCAAAATGTTGACCAAAGTTGTAGAACTTGCAAGCCGTTATTTTATGACAGTGTCCTTTTTTAGATTATGGATGATGGGTTGAAAGAGGCATTTAGTGCTCTGTAATTTGAAGAAATAAGAATTCTGCGCATGCTCATCTTCAAATATGATGAGTAAACTGGATAGACTGTTCGAGAGATATCTTCTGAAGTCAAGTATTCTGACACTACAGTTGCTCCGTGCCGTTCAGTATTGTCATCCATTAACAAAGTTGCTGGATCAACAACACCCTTAAACAGTTCTCCGTGGAGTTCATCATCCACATTTCTGCTAAAGATTGTAGAACTTCCATTAATCGTATGCATTTCTTTGTGGTCTTTCTTAATGATTCCATGCCGAATCACGAAACTTCTTCTGTTTGACTAGACTCCTTCATGAAGAATCAAACGCAAGTTGAGTGTTACTTTTTTCATTCAGATCAAAACACGTTTAGGCAAAGTTTCATGCTGTATGTGGATTCATCACTTAACAAAACGCTATCACATTTTTCTTGATTCCAAAAAATATGACGGCGATATTACGCGAAATGAGCATTTCTGAAAGACGAAGTGAGTGGGACACAAAATATCGTTTTCCTTGCTTAAAATTAAACACTTGCTGTAGAACGGTAGATTTGAATTCCTCTGTGAATTCCTGTGGTAGTCTGAAGATCTAAATTACGTCTCGTAGCTATTTCATGGTCTCTTTGATGGACTAAGAAAAGATGGTTTCCGGACGCAATTATTATACTTAGCTGCCCTTATCCAGGGTATCTACTAACTGACTTGGTGCTTAAAATTCGATGCCAAGTTCTTGATATAACATTCTGAAGGCTATTCAGATTTAGGGTGTTCCACGTCGAATCTTCCAGTTAACCGTTGCTTTTGCCTTTCAATTAAATGATGCCCTTGAATAATGAGCAATAATTTCTGATCACACTTAGAAAGACATTAACGTTAACCAACAGCAGCCTCGCGAATTCAAACATGTTTCCATTGCATAACACATTGTCAACGAAATAATTTGCATGCTTTACGGTCTTACATAAGTGCTGAAGTGCTGTTTTGGGTTTTGTTTGGAACTAATCATTAACTTTAATAAGTGAGCATATTTTTTCACGTTATCCTTTAATTTTGAAAAGCAATTGAGCAATATCGTCTCGTGGTAAAAAATGTGGATGTTTTCATTGTGCACTGATTTGCTTGTTTTCTTTTCCACATTGCTTCTCTCTCTCTGTCTTTTAACAAATGTATATTTGGGAGTTTTATGGTTTATTTTTATAACATACAGCTAGTTACTTCAACATTTAAATATTTTCAATATTTCATAAACATTATTTCTTTTTGTCTTGTATTGTTCTTTAAAAGGTTTTCCATTTTCTCGTGTATTTTATTATTCCTATTATTTTTGCATTATTACTGTTTTTATTTTTATGTTTGCTCATATTTACCAGACTAAGTCAGAATAAGGCAAGTATTGTTATTAAAGTATTAATAAAACTTCAATTTAGGCAAGACGCAATAGTTTGATCATTTTGACATTCGTATTTCATGTGCGCGACATTTCGATATAAAGACATATCGAGCATATCTCATGATTTCTTTAGCCAAACTTACCAAAACATGCGTTTAATTTTAACTTTTATTTCATACATATTCAACTTTTTATATCTTTTCTTTTTTTTTTTTTAGATTAATGTGGAAGAAGTAACTGAAGAAGGCTTGCAAGAAGTAATCAAGGGAATATTTGGATTCGGAGAAGGTGAAGGAGCTCTTGGAGGAGGTGGGGATAATCCTGGAAAAGGTGGTGGATGGTGGATTAGGATAATAGCACTTTTCAGCTTCTGCAAGAATTTATTCATCAGAGGATATAGAGCAGTCGTAAATGTTTGTAAAACGATAGTTAGAAATATTACAAACATCGTGAGTGATTGCTTCAGCTGGATAGATTCCTTTTTTAGACGACTAATGTGATTTTGAGTAAGTTGATGCCATTTATCATTTCTCACCAGTATTTCTTAAATACATCGCGCGGAATTTTGCTTCTATAGTTACGCAAGTAAGTACTTCAGGCAAATAGCTGTGTTCATTTTATAATAAAAAATTAAATAGTTCAGTGTAATAATTAACAGAAATAAGCAAAAATACAGTGCTTACTGCGTGTAAGAAACTTCCGAAAGTTTGCTACATAGCCCTCTCGTGAAAGATGCAACTTCCTCTTTCCCGTCAGAGCAATGGAAAAGCTTTTTCAACACTCGCATTTCTTTTTTCGATCAAGAACCACAGCTTGTAATTCGTGCACAACCGTAAATAACAAAGCATTTATAATTTTGGTCTAAGGTCCAACGAGACTAATTTTCCATGCTAATTCCCGAAACGAGGGTCTCCCTTTGTTCCTATAATTTGATTTTCCTATAGGAAAGATTCTCATGATTTTGTACATGTGATAATTCTTCTTGGGGATTCTCGGAGGCGCCGGAAATAGCATAATAATATTCATGATAATGGCAGCAAAAAAAATGTCATTCAACAACACATGTTACGATTAATTACTACAACTGCAATTCAATTTACGCTAGAGGCCACTTTTCGATCATGTTGACATTCATATTTGAAGTATTTGGTGTATCAAAATTCGTATTTGAAATATCAAAGGGACACTTGTACGTGGTACGTTTTTGCTTTTCTGTGGCAATTATTGCACTGACCCCCTTCGTTTGCTGCTGCAAAATATATAGCGCAGATATAAATCTTTATATGTTTGTAAACATTGTAATGAGAGCTTCCTTCATTGCCAAATGTAACTGAATGTAGTCATTGTTTTTAATAGAGATGACCATTTAATAATACAGGTTGAAACATAGTTCATAATAGAGCAACTAAAGTTGTTTTTGCATTCTGTTTTTGTGCATTTTCGATTTTACACGTTTTAAAAAGAATTAATTTAATTTTAACATAATTAATTTGTTACCTAGAACAGTATAAACCCTCGTTTTTTGCATAATTCTTAAAATATATTCCTCCTCTAAACGATGAGATTCTTTCTTAGATCTTCTGATGCTAACCGTTACAAAACGGACTTTCGAAGATGTAGGTAACACTAAATATTAACCCTTTGCCTTCGAGCCTTTTTACACTTGGATAGATGAGCAAGCCGAGAAGAACTGAGTGAAATTCTTACAGCTAATGTAAAGCAATTTCACAGAATTATAATAGTTATTTTATGTCCGAAGACACTTGCGCTTTCGCCGGATACAAACAGTATGCTTTACATCATTTCTTCGAAGTTTGTGCGCGTTATATATTCTGAATTTTCTGTTGCCTCTGCGGAATCACTGTCACTTTCACATTCACAATCTATTACCATATTTGTCGCCTTTTTATACCATCGCGATCCTCATGACTGCTTTCCTCTTCTCTGTAGTCCAGTAGTCTACGCAGAGATAGAATTTCGTTCCTTATCTACGAAAAATTGAACGCATCTTACTTAAACTATTCCTTCATGGCATTTTATGCTTACTGCTCTCCGTAACTTTGAAAATAATATCCTATGATCAGGATGGTCGAGTTTGAACTAAATTCGAAGACGCATATATAACAATAAATCTAAAAAAAAAAACTAATTTATATAAAGAAAACTGGCAGTTGCTTTACATTCATGTATTGTTGAATACACTCATGAAACGATACTGCCCAAACCAAATCTAAATAAGCAATGTTACATCTCGAATTATCGCATTAAACCGAGTATTGATCAAAAGTTATTTCTCGAGTTACCACATGAAATCAAGTGGTGACCGAGAGTCCCCTCTAGAGCTAGCAATCAAACCAAGTGGGGACAAAGAGTCACTCCTCAAGTTACCATATCAAATGAAGTGTCGACCGACAGTCAGCTCTCGAGTAACCGCATCAAAGCAAGTGATGACCGAGAGTCACCTCCGAGTGCAAAGTGTGAATAGAGTCCAGCAGCCGCTTTCCAAACTTACACATTGCTTTTTCGTTTCTAGATCGTATGGTAAAATGAAGAAAATCAAAAAAGTAGAAATAGCTTCAATATATCCAGTATCAATCGTTACTTATCTGGCCGAACCCCCAAGGATTGTTACCACATTGTTTATTGAAATACTGTTATTGGCGCATGGTTTTAAAAAATAATCGCTAGATGCTACGTAAACAGGCAAAAAATTAATCAGGAATTGAGAAATATAATAAAGTCATTAACAATTGAAATATGCAACTTAGCTACAGGCAAAAATTGCCAAAGCACGTGATTCCAAGGAACCAGTCCTAAGAATTTCCAGTCGAGATCATGATACATTTCCTCTTAAATTGTGATAAACAGTCTTGATCATAACTTGAAACTTTGAACTTCTCATTGAATTGTAGCAGCTATTTGACAGTCTACAAATTCATTGTTGGCAGCCAATTTATTTAAGTCTTGATTAATAACATTAAATTCCTAAACTAAGACATATTAAAAACGTTAAAAAGTATCCTGTTTTGGGAACTGCTGATTTTTGTCGATTCTGCTTTCACGTGCATTCCCAAACTAGGGATGCATACAGAAAAAGTCTCATCATACTGAAATAAATCAGTCACATATTTTGGCACAGTTACAAATAATGCAATAATGATACTAACACACTGCCATATTTCTTGAAAAGGTTATTTTCGGATTATTATCATCCACCTCCAAAACGTTGCTAATCTGCTGGCGGCTAAATTGCTTGCCAAACTAATAGGCGAATGGAAATAGCCATTTTGAAAATGATCAGGCGTTAAGAGTTCCAAAAGAGAGTAATGAAGCAATGGAATTAATAAAAGGGAGAAACAAATCCTTAGCAACATTTTTTAAGAAGCTTTACGTTTTCACGAACCGGTGTACTGAGCGATCTGTTTTCCTTTAAAAAAACTTACAGACTTGTACAAACTTGGTTCTGCCCATATTTGTTTCCTCCCCATCTACACAGAAATCTGCTTTCGCTTGAAACATCGAAGTATAGCACAAATTTCGCATTTCGCCTTCTAAAACTTTCCATTAAATTGGATCATTTAAGAAGTACAACTTCATGGAATGCCGGTTTTGGGATATCTATTTTTGGGCAAAATGCCATATTTCTGAAAAATATGCAACGTTAGTTTTCATCAGTCGGCAAGCTTCACAATCCCATTAGGATTCCTTACAAGAAACAAAAAATGTATAAAACAACAAAACTAAACACCAAAAACATGTTCGTTGAATTTTAAGTAAAAATCAACAATTGTCTGTTCCGGTTGGGCATATACCTGGGTTGCCATATAAATACATTTTGGCAACTTCATGGTTTGCCTGTTTAGCCGATACAGTCCGTTATCTCTTGAATACTTTATAAAGTAATGCGAATAACCAGAAGAATTCTTGAGAAAAAGAGTTCAAGTTGCCGAGCAACATCTGTTCTTGCGCCCAAAATTAGTACAAATTTGGACATCGCATGAAGAATACGTCGAGGGAATCCGCTAGGGAACCACCTGGTTCATAATGAGAAATAAGGCATTCAGGTATTTGACTCTGGCGGCTATAGTAGACGGGTCGCAAGGAAACGTTAGTGGCTTAAATCTGTTATGGTGTGGTCGCAAAGAGAATACTAATAGTTAGGAACTTCTTCGAGGAGATTCTGCAAAGTAGATCTCTAAGTGCTCAATTTTCTGGTAGAACTACATAGTCAAAGTTATTTAAATACTTTTTTTTTTTTTTTTTTTTTTTTTTTTTTGTGAAAGCTCTTAGAGTTATCGAAGAACTTTTAATTTCTCTGAAGAAATATTTGCATATGCTCTATTTCGAAGTCAGTGCATATATTATTTGCTCTTGCCAGATGCCTTAGACAAATCGTTTCGCCAGTTTTCATTAAATGATGTTGTCGCCAGATGCCAGACGTGATTGTCATTTGCTTTGTTCGTTGCCTGGAATCTCACCAGATGCTTACGTTAATCCCATAAAGTGTCTGACAATACGAAATGTCTGGAAATAACTGAATAATCCATTGAAAAGAAAACTGAGAGTTGCAGATGAAAACCAAGGTACCTTGCTTCTGCCCTAAAATAATATCGAATTAAAATTTTTAACTAATGTTTCTAATTTTGAGACCTTTTAAATTCTTTTCCCATTCTCAATATTAATACAAATAAACTGTGAATTTAATACAAGATAAGAATTGTGGTGAAAATACATAATCATCCTCTTAACATACGTATAAGAAAACAAATTTTCTTTGAAACATATTTGAATTTGTTGCATACCATATGTAGGGTTAATTTCTTTTTAGAAAGCATAAAGTTTCAAACGTTTATTTCATAAAAAATTCATAAAATTGCGAAGAATACCCCGATGCACCGATTTGTTGATTTTGTTAAGAATCTCTGTTCAGATGTATGGGACATCTTGCATTAAACATTTGACTATATAAAAATAAATTCTTATCAAATCTTTTTTTTTTTCAGAATTCCTTTGATTAGTTTTGATGTAAAACAGTTACTTTTCAATTTTAGGTTGAAGTAATGAAATTCCACCTGGAGGTTTCTAAAGAATACTGGTGAACTGGTGTTTCTTGCATGTATTAACTTTATTTAAATGTGTAATATTATAAATATATAATATACAAATAAAATTTGTTAACATATTAGACTGTAAAATTTACCTAGATTGCAAAAGCTTTAATGTTTTTATTAATTTTGTGCTTTTTAACTGAAGGAAATTATTGTAATTTTTGCATTAAATAATTCAATCTGAGATAATCTGTTCCATTTCTTCTTCTTCTTCTGTTTATTAATTCTAAATCTTAATTACTATCAGATCGTCATAAAACATTCCGCCGCTTTTCGCTAGATGCATCCGCTTATCCATCTGCTTATAAATGAATTTGCACAGCTAAGATTTTTCAGTGCGTTTCGTGCTTCAAATGTACTATAGTGTGCGAAATCATTCCTACAAAGCGATTATTTAGATCATTTACATACATAGTTACATGTACACTACAGAAAAAAAAGGACAGTTCTTATATCTCCCGTTCTAAGGGGTCGATTGACGAAATTCAACTTGCGTTTTTCTTGTCTCGAAAGCGTGACTTAAAATATATATTAGATTTACATATAGCATTGTTCTAATGCAAATATTTTGACTCAAAATCGGAATTTTACTGAAATGAAATGCAATTGTTTTCTATATTTCGATTCGTCGACCCAAATTATGCCAAACTGCCAAGTTTTGTAAAAATCGCCAGTTTTTAAAAAATAACCTGAAAATTTTAGCTCCTCAATGTTAATTAAATTTGATATATATTTATTAATATCTCTTTTTTTTAATAAACTTACTTGAGTCCTTCTTCGAGAATTCGAAATTTAGTTTCATTCCAAATAAAATTCGACCATTTTTTATGATTTATTTTTAAATAATTTTTCTAAATTTTTCCAAAAAATTTTGAATTATAACCTATAAAACGTTTACCATCATCTTAAAGATGTATTTCTAAGCATACCTGCGAAAAATTAGAGTTTTTTAATTCAAAATTTCCTAAGATATTTGTGAATTTACGTATTGGCTCGTTTTGAATTTGACTTAGTGGTTACAAACGATAATAAAGCTAAATATGGGTTTGTTAAAATTATTTGAAATAATGAACGATGACTCTTTCTACGCTCTTTTACAATGAAAAAAAGGAAAAGAATATAGGTTGCTATAAATTAAGAAGTTCGCCAAGTGAATTATTCTTGGCGCTAACTGAAAAAAATGCGCCAAAATAAATTTTTGAATTTCTTCGTAAATTTCGCACCAAATTTTACAAAATTTAATATTTAGGCACAATTTGAGTCCTAGAATCGAAATATGGAAAACAACTGGCATGTCGTTTCAGATAAAGCCCGCTTTTGTACCTATGCTAGAGCACTGTTATATATAAATCTAATATATAACCTAAGTCGCGCTTTCGAGACATGAAAACTGCTGTTTGACTTTCGCCAACTGGCCGAGTGGAGCGGGAAACATAGGAGCTGTACCAATTTTTTTTCGCAGTGTACAGTAATAGTAGTAAAATTAACAGGTAATATGTCCTCCTTTAGCAGAAATGAACTCTAGAATGTGCTTATACACTGACATTACTAGTTTTGTGCATATAAGTAAGTGCATGGAATACAAGATTGCGCCTATCGTTGGTAAGAGCCTTGAGCACCATGCAGGCGATAGTACGATTTTGCTCAGTTTCGTCCCAATTTTATTACGGCTCTTCAATTACGGGCTCTTCAATTACGGGACGGCTCTTCAAGTGTACCACACGTGAATCATACCTGTTCTCGTATAGCAGGACATTTTTAATTAAAAGATTTAAGTATAAATATTTCAGATTACATTCTAATATTTCAAGGGCTTTAAACTTCAAAATTTAAAAGAATATCTAAAAATTTAAATTTATAATAATTTTTAAACTGAAAAGAAACTGTAGTCCGATCTTATACGGATCTGTATACGTTTTCGTTTAACATCTGAAATAAATTTAAGCTAATTAGTTATATTAAAATAGTTTGTCAGAAATGCAAATGTAGAGCAGCTGTACTTAGAGTAGCTTAGAGTACAACGTGTACCTCTAAGCATACGTTACGGCTTAGTCAATGGTACGAAAAAAAAAAAAATTAATAGTATTGGCAGAAAACAGCAAAATGTTATAATTAATGAATATTGTTAAAACAACAAAACGTCTAGAAAGTTAAAATTTGCCATCGAGTAAAATGTTAATTGCGGGGAATTCCACTGTGACCGTCATTGATGTGCACGAAAGCAATGCAATTGTTTAGCCCAATTCAAACCATTACACAATTCCTTAGGCAACTAGCCAATCCTTCTTCCGCTGTGTCATATAAAGTAACTGGCAATCAATAATACTTTTAACTGTGAGTGAATCATCAAATGAGTTACGAATGTTTCATTGCTTACAGTTATATTACAGTCACATTTGTTTGAGTCTGGAGTTGTCTGAGTCTGTCTGCATTTAAATTTATTTCCTCGACTCGAATTATTCTAAATTAACCGATCCCTCAAGGCAAATATATGTGTGCATATCAAGGCAAGGCAAATATAAGGCAAGATAAGTGCGTAATCCTATGTACAAATTTCAAAGTTCTATGGCTAATGGTTTTTGAGTTATGCGAAATACATACATACATTCGTACGTACAGACGTAGAAAAAAAATCCCTTTTTAAATCGATTTTACAACTCGTTTTGGAAACAGAGTCCTTTATTCTGAGCGTACGTATAGACGTCATGCAAAAATATCGTTCAAAATGTATACGGGAACTGTAAAAAGGGATATTTCCGTTGAAATACGATACCTGAAACTTTTCGATATTATAGTACTTCCTTTGCTAGTAAATAAAACTGGACAGGAGGTTAAAATGTAGGTTATTTTGACAGAACTAAATTACTACGAGTAATAGTTCTAAATTGATGTCTGCATTTTCAGAGAGCCAGCTTAAGAGATAAGTTTACTAATAGCAAGAAAATTAGAAACAGTGGTCCTAATTAGAAGAAAAGAAAGAATTCATATGGATGCTTAATGTGGACTTTTATTCAAAAGATGGGAGAACATTTCCAACACTTTTGTGTAATACGTAGGAAAGATTTTATAAACGGAAGTATGAAACCTTTGTGCTTTATTCATAAGCCAAACACGGCAACTACACCCAAACGTCAAAAAAATTTTTTCAGTGACTATTTAACTCTTTCGCAACGTTAGAGACTAAATCTGTTTCACTTGAACATTTGAAACGCCCGTAGATATGTATTTTTGTTGGAATGGATTTCCTTTTCCCACGCCAAGTAGAGTGCTACAACGCTAAGAATAACCTACTTAAGTGAAGCGACAATTTTCCTCCTGGGATCTTCATACGCTTTCACCACTTTGTGCAGTTTTCACTTAGGACAAGATTGCAATTTAGGACATCAATAATTAAATATTGAAGCGAAACAAAGAAGAAGAAAGGTGCATTCAAATAACAGAAGTACTTTTAGACGATTCAAAAGACTGATTGTCATGTCATTTAAAAACTCCCGAAAGCAATGAGCCATGCATTAACATGATGGAGAAAAGCACCAGGTAGAAAATGATTCAGGCATTTGGGCGATTTGCCAGTGTGAATGGCAACTTCCATGTGAAAGAATTAAATATGCTATATGTGAAATCTTGTTCGTTACCACGTAACACAGATGATAAAAATGCAAATATGCGTCCTACAGATTTTAAGTTACTTTATTGCTAAAAGTGATAGAGTTTCTTAACTTAGTTTTGCTGTTCAAGGCCTATTTGGAGAACTTCTAGGAGGAGAAAGTATACCTAGACGACTCGGAATCACATAGCAGTGCGGAGTCTGAAAAGCAGTCCTAAACGATAGGAAGTGAATGATCGGAACATTGAGCACGTGTAGTGAAACTAAAAGTGCCACATGTATTGTAATTTATCTGGAAATAAAGAGTTTCTCCACCCACTATTGGCTTCAAATTTGTGCACCTTTGTTTACCCTCCAGCTGATTATTATATGTAGCAGGGAAAAAATTGTTGTAATTCATTGTGATCTCAAGCTGACATTTAAAGACTATAAAATTAAGCCCTGGCTTTCCTGATGAAGAAGGGCCCGGACATTTCGCAATATGATGTAGGGCATGGCACTCGCATTTCGGAGGTTTGGAAATGCACTGAGCGTTTTGAAATGGCGCATCTTTGTCGTATACAGCGAACGTCCGATGGATGCCCGTTGTAACATCCGAAATTCCTTGCGGGTACCAAGTTATAACTTGGAGTAACTCCATTATATGGAAATAGGAAGTAAGAGGAGAGGCCCTAACTGGTTTTCCCTGTACATTGCTTTGAAGCAGGGACGATCCGTTCTTGAAGACCAACACATTTAGTGGCTTACCATTAAGATCAATGGGTTTTGACACGATCGGATGTAAAGATTTTGTAATTAAGTCCTAAACATACGTCTAAATGTATAAATTTTCTTTTCCTAAAATATTTCAGAGTCCTACGTATATGAAAAGAATATATTTTTAAACAATATTTCATTCTGAACGGAATTAAATGCTATACTTTACGAAGAACAGTTTAATTTGAATGAAATATTTTCACAAGTTTAATTACATTAGAAAAATTTTAAGGTAATATAATTTTATTTGGTTCAAGATTAAAAATTAAGATTAAAGTTTATTGGATTATTACTATTAAAATTACACTTTATTTTTTTTATTTGCAGAGCTTCTTCCTGAAATACTTTCTCAAATATGACATGATTTTTTAGCTTCTGAGGCATCTTTTAAATCGAATCTTAAAGTACATTTAATATTCGTGTTCATTTCCATGTACTTGACTTTCTCTGAATATTTTTGAAAGGGAATAAAAAAAGGATTTTTTAAAGAATATTATTTAAAACTTGTAACTGAGTTATTATAAAATGTAAGAGAATAATTCTTTTAATTTACTTATCAGACCTTTTCTCCCCTTAATTTCAACAATATATATTCTAAAAATCTTCTAGTTCCTTAAGTAAGCATCTCATAGAATTTGCTTCGCAAAACCTTTTAACAGATTGCTTTCCAGTACGAACAAGTCTTGCTTAAATAGTTTTATAAACGTATTTATGAAAAGAATTTGTATTTATGTTTGCAATTAAATGTTACGGTTATTATATATTACGCTAATATTTATAAACATTATAAATTTAGATATATTTAATAACTAGATTTCTTCACAGT